CCCCAAAACCCCAAAACCCCAAAACCCCAAAACCCCTACAAATGGGTTAATTATTGACTTATAAAATAAATTTGTAAATATACTACATATACTATGAAGGAAATTTTTAGTGTCCCAAACTGGCTTCATGGGGTTAAATGAGACCTCTCAAGTCCCTTTGGCTTCAATGAAAATGAAGCACTTCGAGACCTAGACGGTCTTAAAGATAACTTCATAGTCCAAGCAAGGAGAGAATCTTTAGAGAACTTCGATAATTTTGAGTATCAAGAGGACTCTCCAGAAATTTCGGAAAATGAGGACTTTAATGATCACAGCCTGAATGAGCCAGAGGTACTTCCAAGAAATAATTCAGCTCCAGTCTGCAACAAATAAAAAAGAGATTCTACTGCTCAGATGGAGACAAACAATTCGAATAAACAAGCTTCAATGGGGCAAACTCCCTTGACTACAAATTGCGAGAACTCCTCAGCAACCTCACAGGTCTCTGAAGAAGAGCATACCAAGAAGGATGCAGAGGACCCAGCTGAGGATTCTTTAAAACTGAAAGCTACAGGATCCCGTAAACAAGATATTTTGCAAGAACAATCTCTTCAAAAGGATCCTTCAGAATTTTTTGATGAGGAAAATTTAGTGTTCTTAATCAGAAAAGTTGATAGAAAAACAAAGAAATCAAGGTTGCTAACAAAGCATAGGAAGAAGATAACCAAGTGCGAACACCGCAACTTGGAGTACTATGCTAAAGGGATGTGTAAAAACTGCTACCACAACAAAGGAAAGAGATCGAAGAAGGCATCGAAATGTGACCATACAGACAGAGATCATTATGCAAAGGGTCTTTGTAAGAGCTGATACCTTCACTTCTTCCATATGAAGAAGAAAGCAAATAAGAGTCTTGCTTTAGGCAACTTCCAGGCAACCTTTTAAGCAAGTGAGTATCAAAAGAGCTTCCTGAGGCTTAAGATGAGCCATTAGCTCATATATACTAAACTTAGTATCAAATAAAATATCAAATTCTTCTTAAGAAGTTTACCCTATCTCTTCTTCTCGGGCTTCCACGTGTCTTAATCCTAAAGTTTTCATTGGTTATGAGCTAGATTTTAGCATGTAATTCTAGAGATATCTTTGCTTGGCTTCATTGGGCCTCAGACGAACGAGTTGCTTTGACGTAGTTCCGATTGGGTTCAGGTCTTAATCTCTCTATTCAAACAAAATTTTATTAAACAAATTAAACTATGGCATCTTTTGGTTTGTCATAAGGCGAACGCATCTTGCAAGTACAACAAAAAATTAAAGTCGGAAGGAGTGCCAGGAGGTCTTCAATAAATGTAGAAGAAATATTGGTGGGATTTAAGAGGGATTCGAGTCCTTACCCAATACCATTTGCTTTTCTATACATCCTATACCATAGATATTAGCCACTTGTAACAAAATTAATACTATTTATTCATTAAAATCGAAAAATCTTATTAAGGCTTGTCATGTACTTAACACCAATCTTGACCTTTAGACTATAACCATGTTCTGTGTTGGCTAAACAGAACTTGGGTAAAGACACTAAATTTTAAAAATGAAGGGACTTCCACTAAAACGATTGGTCGCCAAATAATTTATTTCACTATTAACTCTTACAAAATAAGGCTTTGGAAGGTTCTTAGATATAAAAAATCAATAAGGCCATTTGGTTAGGATGAGAATCTAAGTAGCCATTTTTATTAACTCAGCTTAATAAAATAAAGAGCCAATCAGGACTAGTCTATAAAGAATCGATAAGTGCTAGATTTGAACAAATTATTCAAAGATCAAACACACTGTTGGTATACAGCTCTTGTAAAAAGTGTAAAGCGATTGGATACAATTCATGATTATAATTGGATATTATATCAAAGATGGATTTGAGAATCCCTGATTTGGCTAAGAATAGCTTTAGAACCGACCGTGAGCCAAATATTAAACCTTCTAACAACCTTTAGTAATATCCTCTAATATCACGATATCACCCAGTCCAGCCACACCAATTTCCCCTGCCATTCCAGATGTCTTTCACTCTTGCTATATCAAATTCAATTGGCCCTTCACAAAGCGGGGTTTTGGGGTTTTGGGGTTTTGGGGTTTTGGGGTTTTGGGG